GAAGGAAGGAAGGAAGGAAAATTGATATCATATGGTAGAACACAAGGAGATGGCAAGGTGGTGACCCTGATTTCACAGAGGGGAATCTGTTTTAATCTGGCATTTAAGGAGCTTTCCAAGGTCCTGAAACATACAGTATCCCCCTGATCACCAGGAGAGGCTCTCTTCTTGATCCCACCCCCTTTATAGATACACACTTCAGGCTTGTTATAATGTCCAAGACTGTCAGCAGATTCTTTTCTAGTTCCTTTCTGATGTTTTCTTATTTCACCACTGAACTTCCCGTGTGCATCTGTTAAATTTAGAAATGGGTGCCAAATAGATAAGTTCTTGCTGGGTGTCAGGAAGTAGTATTCAAAGGATGATGCTTTGCCTTAGCCTGTCCAAAAAAAGCATGATGATAAAGTCTCTGTATGGCCCAAGCCCAACAAAACCAAACAAATTCTTACAAAAAGACTTACAAATTCTATAATCAGGGTTGGCCTTAGGAGTGGACAAGCTGGTTGGCTGCCTGTGATGTTGAGCTGAAAGGGCCAGTGAACTAAGCTAGGAGGCCACCAAGGTGAACACAGTAGCTCTTTTTCCTTCCTTCCTTCCTTCCTTCCTTCCTTCCTTCCTTCCTTCCTTCCTTCCTTCCTTCCTTCAGAAGCCAGTTACAAGTAAAGGAGTTCCCTGTCACTCATTACTTTTTTGTTTTTGAAGAACTGTCCAACAAAACCACATTTCAAAAGTGCAGGAAGGGTCAACGTGGCTTTACTGGAGTAACATCCATAGGGCCCCTTCCAGCTCTGCAGTTCCAAGATGATGATGATGATCCTTTTCAAGTTTGACCCAAAGGGGTCTTTCCAACCAGAAGGCTTGCCCCCCCCTCGCAATTGTTAATGGGAAAATGAGAGTCAAAGGAGGGCTTTGAGGGTGACACACAGGTAAGAAGTTTAGCAAAGCAATTTGTTTTCAAAGGAGCAGGATTCCTCAGGAGTCACCTTACTTGTTGTAGCCAGTGAAAAAGAACTCAAAAATGAACTGGGTACCGCTGGCAGAAACTGCGGGATGCCTTGGAGTGCAAAATCAGAACAAGCGCTTTTGACCTTTCTAAGAGTGTAAAGAATGCCGCCGGCCTCCGGGTGCCCCGTAGTGCCATTTTAACATTTCTATGGCAACTGAGTTTCGGGTTTTTTGCCAAAAGATCTCCCTCTCCCAGCTCCCAGTGTGATGGGATGTACCATTTCTTTTTAAAAAGAAAAGAGGAAAAGTTTGCCGGATGGGACTAGAGTATAGCTCTAGGCACCCCAGTGATAAGAGAGCAAAGATTCAAAAAAATCCTGGTGTTTCTTCTTCTTCTTCTTCTTCTTCTTCTTCTTCTTCTTCTTATTA